CCTATTAGAAAAGTTATAGCCTTTTTTGTTTACATAATATACTATTTTTATTTTTATTTTTATATTTATTACCATTAGATGTAAAGTTTTTTTTATCTCCGGCGCTGTTATATCTGTAGGGTTGATAATACGAAACAATTTCGAACATAATATAAAAATTCACGCTTGAAATCGATTTTAAATATCGATAAAAATCTTTAATTTTTTAAAAAAAAATCAAAATTAATATCGAAATCGTGAATCATGAAATCATTACATTATCAAATCGATTTTAAATAAATTTAAAAAAAAAATCAAAAGTATACAATCATACAGACATCAGATCTATTTATACTTAATATTGTTCATAATATGCACATTCATTGTTAAATTGGATAATATTATTGACTATACATATTGGTTATCATGCACAATAGTGTGTATAATAATAACTACCTACTAATAATTAATAACTTATGTCTAATATTTTGTTTTCTGAGAATGGAATATTTACAATATAGTATACATATTATAGAATAATACTATAATAGGAATCGGAATTCGACGAGCGTTTGACTTGTTTTTCGATTTCAAGCCCTGCTATTTATATCATTTTATACATTACAACTATATAAATAGCACTACTATTATTTTTTTTTGTTATCATGGATTTTTGTGAACAATAATTAATCAAATACAAATAACTTATTAAATATGAATGGAGAATGTTTATTCAGATTATTAATACATATTTAAAATTATACTATACAGTTTTAAATTATTTAAAAGTTTATTATTATTATTTTAAAGTTTATAACTTAAGTTGACATTTAAGAAAAAAAATCGTCCGAGTCACGTGTACATTTTTACATTTTAGTGCACCATCCTTGTCTGCCAAGGAATCAATCCTTCTGCCACGAAGTAATCTGCATATCTTTCACGAAGGTCTTGAGATCTTCTGGTTGAATGATTGACTAAACTATTTTTTAATGATTCAAAACCATTCGGCTCTAACTCGTCCCTCCAATTACCTCGGACAATTTCTCCAGTATCAAAATTTTCTGAATCGACTGGATATTCAAATTGTCTATATTGTAATTTAGTTTCATTGGGCCAGTTATGAAGAGCACAACATGCTTTTACAATAAGAATGACCTTTTCGGGGCTGTATGGAAACGGTTTTTCAAATACTCGAAATCTAGCGGCCATTATGCCGAAAGCGTTTTCGACTATTCTTCTTGCACGCGACAATCTATAGTATAAAATTTTCTGTTTTAATGTCAACTGGTTTCCAGGAAATGGCTTAAGTAAATATTATTTTAAGGGAAATGCGTTATGAATTGAATAAAATGCTTGTCGCCAACTAAAACATGACCTTCTGGTAGCATACCGTCCTCTAATGCTTGATACAAACTGAAGTTACGAAAAACACCTCCATCAGACACTCTCCCATTACATCCAACATCTTTATAACTAAAACAATATTTATGGTCCACTACTGCCATTAAACAATACTGTTTGATTCCTTGTAATTGTAGTACAAGCTTCCTGATTCGGGAGGTGCTTTAATTATAATGTGTTTCCCATCAATAGCGCCACAGCACAGGGGAAAGTTCCATTCGTTTTTAAAACCCTTCTCAATATTTTTCCAACCTTCTTTGTCAGGAACCTAAAAATACAAAATACACAATTTATCTAAATCTTATAATAGTATTTTATTATTAAGTTCCCTATATTAAATTATTAAAAAAAAATTAACATAATCTATTTACTAATTTTTCAGTCAAACACAGATAACGAAAATAATATATCTGTAACAGAAACCGAACACACAGAAAATACTATTGAACTCACATTAAACTCTGAATTTTGTGAACCAAAACCAAAAAACAAAAAGCAAAGACTTTCACAACTTAAGACTATGGTAGAAGACGAGTTTGAGGTTTTTGGAAAACACATAGGGCTACAACTACAATCAATGCCATTACTATTAGCACTTGAGGCACTAGAACATATTCAAGTTTATTTGAATAGACTTCGTAGACAGCATTTACAAAACTCTTCTGACCAAAATATAATAATTACGAGATCATCCACTCCATCGGAATCGTCATACATTCAACAAGATTCACCTTATAGTTCTGCTTCAACATATAGTTATTTTAATAGTCAGTCCCGTGAAGATACAGAATGCTCGTCTCAATCAATTCCTCAAACACAACAATATAATATTCAAAATACAACGATGGAAGATATATCTACCTCAATAATTATGCCGTCATTTCAAGGTTTGCAAAATAGCACTACAACGAACGACATAATTACAACTACAATCAATAACGCTAGTTGATTACTGTTATTTTGAATGTACTGTTGATTTTTAAATATATTCGAGATGCGAGAGCATTCAAATATGTTTTTATTAAAATATTAAAATTAAATAATTATTTTTTTTATATTTTTTTTCATACCTTAAGTTTTAAAATATTTAAATTGTTAAAAAGTGACTGTTATTTTATTAAAATATTTCAAATTATTATTTTGTTGAAAGTAATTGATAATACTGTTTTATAACTTTGGTTTTATGATTAACCTAAGTTGAATTATATGTTAAAAAATAAAAAGTGATGGTTTTTTTTTTAATAAATTAATAAAGGTTTTTAAAAATCAACTAGATAATGGGTTTTCAAATGATTTTTTTATTTCTTACCTTAATAAAGTCCTGTAATGATTCGTAAATGGCTATACAAACTTCTGGAATGAATTCTGAAATAGTTGATTTTCCAAGTCGAAAAATATGTGTTAACGTCCTTAAACTGCATCCCGTAGCAAAAAAGTATAGAACTGTTTGTAATTTTGTTTTTGCTGGAATCGCCATTCTTAAGTGAGTGTCACTACGTTGAATTTGTGGTTGCACTTTTTTCAACAAAAAATTAAAACAGCTTTCAGACATTCTTAGCGTTACGAAGTATTCTTTGGGGTCTTCAAATTCTAGTTCTCTAAGAATACCATTTGTAGCTCCCAATGTGTCTCTTCTCTTGATCCATTCCCTAATCCACATTCGCTTTGAATTTTTATTAAGCTCTTCTTCTACCTCTTCTAAAATAGCCGTTGAAATAAGTCCTATTGCTTTATTCAATTTTTTTTTTTTGTAAACTATTCATTTTGGAAATCACTTTTCACAGCACCAAAACGAATACTAATGTACTAAAACAGTTTTAAACCCTATTGTGTCTGAACACTTTTCAGTTACTAAACCGTTTAGTAGTTAGTACATACCACTTGACTAAATTACTGGCATAGTCTGAACTAGCCTTTACGCGGGACCGCGTCAAGTTGCAGCCTTTTGTCGGCGATGGCTTATCAGGCCTTCGGGTGCGACCGGTCAGCTGTGGAACCATTATCAGTGTTTTCATATTTATTCGGTTATGTTCAAAACCTCAAGTTTTACGGTTCGTCATGCTTTCAGTGTCACAAAGTTCTTAGTTTTTTTATTGTTTAGTGTGGTGACACTGAAAGACCGTTTATTGAGTTTCTTGTGTGTTTCGTCCGTTACATGTAAAATTGACAAAGTTAGTCACTTCTTTTTTGTCTGCTGTCCAGTCAGCTCGTTCATCGAACACATTGTTGTGATTTTGTGAATTCGTGGTCTGGTAATTATCGTTCTGTGCATTTCCATTGCCATCGTTAATTTATTATCCCCAGTTTTAGGGTGGTCAAAATTACTAGCGATTTGTAGTGATTCAACGTGTTTTGGTTCTCGTTGCTCGTGGGGACAGTAGTGTATACTAAAGATCCTGTCCCGGCTGCATTCAGTGATCATTGTTGTGAAGTCATCGTGAACAGTTGTCGGCACACATTCGCACGTACGCAGGGTCAATTTGTTTTTTATTGTAACCTATTTACATATCCACAGGCCCTGGTGCGGTAGTGTGGGTGTAAAACCAGGTTTGTGTTCCAACTGTTATGTGAGTAACTGTTAGTGACCAAAATATTTGTGTGCATATGACCGACGAGTCTTGAGTTACTGCATTTCATTATTATTAAATTGTTATTATTATTACATTATTTGGTGTAGCCATATAGGCATATTATTTGAATTTTTTCTTATTGTTATTTGCCAAACAGGCACTTATTGTCAATTTATTGCATTGTTTTATTTTATATTTTATTATTTTTATTGTTGCGCCAAACAGGCAAAGTTCCTATTTGATATCATATTATTAGTAAGCTGTATAGGCAATTTGATATTTTTATTGTAATAAAGTACCTGCCACCAACTATTATATTATACTGTATTATTATTATTTGAATGCGCTGAGGTAGTGCTACATTAAGTTGCCTACTAATTAAAGGCACGACTTAATATGTTATTAAGCGCTGAATGCGGCAACATAATCTAACCGTATACTAGTAATAATCTTTAAACATTTTTTTAGATCGCAACTAAGACTTTTTTACCTGATTTAATCCCGACTGCAACACGGTATCAACCCATAAGTCAGCTCCTTATGTTAAACAGTTTAAAATTAAAATGTTTCTGGAATTATAGCCTAAACCCGTTTATCTTATACATACCTCGTTGAATATTGTATTTAACTTAAATTTTATAGATTAAGTATAATTTATTGCACTTATAGGTAATGAAAGTCTCAGCCTGTTTAATATTAATAAACTAAATTAAAATAACATGAGTAGGTATATAAATGAGTTTCGATTATAAAAATAATAAAATAATTTTGTTGTTAAAAATATAATTGAATACTAGAAATTATGTCTCATTTGGCATATAGCAATCAAATTCTATAGTTATTAAGTTTGTTAAAAATATAATTGAAATCTATTAGGAATACGAATCAAGATTTAGTCTAATTTTATGAAGAACTAGGGTTAATTTTTTTTAATTTAGTTAACATAATTTAAATAATCAATCTAGTTCACATTATTTATTCATCTAAAAAATTTGTATACTACCTTCTTATACCTACTAAATTTATGAAAATAAAATTTTAAACTGTTTATTACTTCAATTTGATTAATGTGTTAACTACTAATTTGGATTTATCTAATGGACACAAAGTACACAGAAGATTTCTATTTTTGCATTGTGGTAGTATTGTCTTGCGAATACTGTAATTGCTGCCATCTTTTTTACAAATGTTATAAGTGACTCCGGTAGCTTGTTCACAAACTTCTGGTTTTGTCAATGCTTTATTTCTTAAAGTATCCATTAGTAATTTCTTCGCCTAAAGTTAAGATCAAATAGTTGATGTCAAAATCTTACATAATATATTACTTAACAACTAGGGTTTGGAAATTATAAGAGTTGCATATTTTTCTATATGCTTTCGATTTATTTATAAATTCAAGCTATATAATTTTGAGTTTAAAAATTGAAAATTAAAAATGCAAATTTTGTCAGCAATTTTCTTTATTTTCACATTAATATCATTTATATTTAAAAATTTATAAAAAATTGATTCTTTTCTTTTTTAATCTAAGTAGAATTTATCTTTATAACAAAATGATAATAACGCTAAAAATGAGCGTTAAAAAATTCGATATTATTTTTCCTAGTTATTTATTATTATTCCTTTTCATACGTTGATGGACAGTTGATTTAATTATTTTTCAAAAACACCACCCTTAAAACGTCACTTTTCATTACTGCTATAGCAGTAATATTTTTAGTTCTGCTATAGCAGTACTGACTCCCGTCACATTTTTGATTAAAAAATTACTGTTATACTAGTATTACATTTAATTGGTTAATTATTTTATAATTATTATGTTGAAAGCTACGGTTTATTTTAAGGAATGCATAAAAAGATAGGGAAGTTATTTTTATTTAATGAAATGAAACAAAAAGCAATTCAAAAACTTTATTATATTATTGAAAAATTATACTTATACAATACTTAGATCATTATTTTAAACTTATTTTTTGTTAATTAATTAATTTTAACTTTATATTCATCCTTCTGGTTGAGCAGCATGGTAATTTTTAAAACATAGTGGACACAGAAGTACTTTAAATTTTTGACATTGAATGGAAGTTTGTTTTCTGGTTTTTTGTTTATAACACTGTACACAATTTTTAAATTTTTTTTGTCTTTTATAATTTGGTGGTAACGGCTTGATTTTATGAATTTTTTTTTAATTAAAAAAAATCAGTTGCTGTAGTATTTTATGGAATTTTAATTAAATCTTTAATAAGTAAGTCTCTATATACTTTGAACCTGAAATCTGGACAGTCAAAATGTTGTTTATATATATATAAAAACTATTCCATATAGCGAAGTCTAACAGATGAAAAATAACTTTCTTGTACCACTTTGCAGATTTCCGAGGACAAGAATAATAAGAGATTATTTGATCTACTCCACTCATAAACTCATTATACTTGGCAATTTCGATAGGTTTTGGTTTTTCTTGGCCATATTTATTTTTGGAGACTATCATTTTTGGTCCCCTCAGGAGCGCTTATATCATAATAGACAAGAGGCACAAAACATCAATTCGTAATTTTAGAAGTTACAGAGGAGCTGATAGAGATACTGACCATTATTTAGTTGTTGCAACTTTTGTATTAAAGCTGTCAATAAAATGGAGGAGTAAGAAACAAACAGGAAAGAATAATAAACTTGATATAGAAAAAGTTAGGAATCCGAAGGAGATAGACACATACCAAAGAGAAATTTCGGAAAATCTCAGGAAATATAATCTTGCAGAACATGAATCGGATAAAGTTACAMTKTGGTCAAAGACAAAAGAATCTATAACAAAAGCCGCTGAAAGACTAYGAGGTAAGCGCACTAAACAAAACGAAAATCATTGGTTTAATCTGGAATGCCAAGCTGCTATTAACAAGCGAAGTTTAGCTAGACAAAATATGATGCTGAATCCAACAGAAAAGAACATAAGTGAATACTCTAAACTCAGAACCATAGCGAACAAGGTGATTAGGCAACAGAAACGCGCAATGGAAAAAAGAGCTATAGAAGATATCGAATATTATAAGAAAGAACCTAGATTGTTTTTTAAGAAGTGCAGATAGATTAAAGAGGGTTTCAAGGCACGTACTAATTTCATCACAGACACGAATGGTCATATAATATCGGAACCTAGCGAGATCGTAAACAAATTTCAAGAATATTTTGAAGAACTGTTAAATAACAAAAATTCGCGCACTGGAAATAACAACAATGGAAAGTACGAAGAAATACTATATCACACAGCAGAACCTGAACTGCCAGCACCAAATATCGAGGAAATTGAAATTATTATTAAATCATTAAAGAATAATAAATCTCCAGGGGAAGATAATATAAATCCTGAACTACTAAAAATTGTAGGAAAAGAAATTTTAATTAACATACACCACATTATAGCAAATATATGGAACAGCAAACAAGTATTACAGGAGTGGTCGTCATCAGTTATCTGTCCTATTTTCAAGAAAGAGGATCCAACTAAAGTTAGTAATTATCGAGGTATATCGCTTTTAGACACAGCGTACAAGGTGCTCTCAATAGCTATCTTACGAAGAATAGAAGTAATAGCAATAGACATTGTAGGAAAATATCAGCGTGGTTTCTCAAAAGGAAGATCTACCAGTGACCACATCTTCACGCTCAGAAAAACAATGGAAAAGTATTATGAGTACGACAAAGACCTACACATGATATTTATAGATTTTAGACAAGCGTACGATAGCATCGACAGAGAACAGCTATTAACAGTACTTCAAAATTTTGGTTTGCCCAGGAAACTGGTAAACTTGGTTAAAGGTTGCAATTCCAATACTACATGCAAAGTGCGTTTCATGGGAATGGAGTCAGGGAATTATGAAGTCAAGTCAGGCCTGAGACAAGGGGATGCGCTATTCCCCATTCTTTTTAATATCGCTTTGGAAAAAGTAGTCAGAGATATGCATAAAACGCGAGAAATGGATCTAACTGGTAGCGGCACATTGTTTGCATATGCTGACGACATTGTCATTCTTGGAGACTCTCAAACCGAAATAGAAGAAAGTACAAATAAATAAATAAATTCTAGTAAAAGAATTGGCCTCAATATAAACGAAATAAGACAAAGTATATGATCATAAGTAGGCGACCAAGAATATTACAGAATCTCATCGTAGATGGATATACATTCGAACAAGTAGAAGATTTTAAATATTTGGGAGTCAATTTGAATAATATGAATGATATGCATAACGAAATTAGATTGAGACTAAATACAGCAAATCGTGGCTATTATGCAATGAGTAAATTATTCAGATCTAAGCTTCTTTCCAGAGAAACTAAGAAAATGCTTTATATTTCCTACTTGCGGCCCATAGTAATGTATGGGTGCGAAACATGGTCCACCACTAAAGGGGGTGAGACAAAGCTTTTAATATTTGAAAGATCCTAAGAAGAATATATGGTCCCATGTATAATACGGAAACAGGGGAGTACGAAAGGAGAACAAATGCAAATATTGAAAGAATCTTTAATGGACCAAATATCCAAAAGTATCTTGTGTCAAAGAGACTGGAATGGGCTGGTCACATATGGCGAGATAAGGACAGCCAAATGAGACAAGTTGTGATATCTAAACCAAATAAAACACGCCCCAGAGGAAGACCACGTCAGCGTTGGATRRAYCGGGTAAAGAAAGACYTAATGCAAGTAGATGAAACTGCAATAATTGATGATGCAGACAACAGAGACCAATGGAGAGGCATAGTAGAAGCAGCGAAGGGCCTTAATGGCCTGTAGAAGCTAAAAAAAAAAAAAACATTTTTGGTTGATAATTGGGTGTTATGCATAAGACATTCCTCTTATCTTTCCATTTAGAAACATACACCTTATTTTGACGTTTCCAAATATGATCACCTCTTTTCAATTTTTTTTGAACATATTTTGGATTACACCTTCGGTTAATTCGCAATGTGCCAGTGGTGTGGGTATTGTGATTTAAAAGTAAATTCGAAAGGTTAACACTGTTATAGTAATTGTCCATAATCAAGTGATGGCCCTTATTTAAATAAGAAGCCATAAGCCTTAGTACTAAATTGTCAATTTTTGAAGTTAGTGCCCCACTTGAAAATTGTTTTCCCTTATACATATCTATATTTAAAACGTATCTGGAGAACAAAGCTCATAAAATTTAATGCCATACTTCGCTTTTTTTCCTTTGATATAATGTTGAAAATCTTATCTTCCACGGTGGAGAAGCAGAGACTCATCTAACAAAGGTTCAATATGCGGGTAAAAAGCTTTTTGAAAATTATCAATCAACATTGTGTACACTGGTTCAAATTTTTTTCACTGGGCCATCAGCAACTACTATTTTTTCCGAATAATCAACACTGAAACAATTCAGTTTGAAACAAGTTGTTCAAACCGTCTTCCTGACATAATTTTTTTTAAGATTGGATAATAATATAATGGGTTATTTGAAAATGCATCTCGCAACACAGAAAATTTGGAAGACCCAAAAAGTAAACATAAACCCAAAAATGTATTGATTTCTTCTGTATCAGTATTTTTGAAAGTCGAACTTCTAGAATTTTTATTATGAGGCCGATCTTAATGCAAGTGTTTGACCATAATTATTTGTTGAACTTATAATAATCTCAAGTATATAGCCCGTCCAAATTTGGTTAAATATTTCGATAGGAGAGTCTTTAGCAGATTCTAATACATTTGTTTTAATTCCAGAGGAGTTCGAATTAAATTCAAAATCAGAAATAGTTTTGTAGTTATCAACCTATTCAGAATCCTCGTCATCTTTTTCACTTTCATCACTAGACGTACTTACCTCAGTCGAATATTCATCATCAGATAAATTTTGTATTTGAGGCATCACTAATACATTTGAATTTGATGGATCGTCCATTGATACATCAGGTGAGCTGCTAATTGAGACTTTTTCAGCGACACCGGGTAGATAAAAATTAAGATCAACATCAGAATCGTCAATAATTGAAATATTAGAATCATAAGAATCGTAATCTTCATCTGACAACTGATTTACATTTATTTTTTCTCGTGAATTCATTTTAATGTAAACTTGTAAACAATCATCACTCAACGTACTATAATATCATACTTCAATGGCGATCGTATACGTACTAATATAATAAATATAACGTATAGAATATGTACTATGCTGTTTATCAAATAAGAAAAACATAACAGTTATCGATATATAAATTATAACTAATCGATAAAAGAATAAAAATGGAAAATAT